CTATAATTTAATAAAATAAAATTTTAAAAATTAAAAATAAATAAATAAATAAATCACCCAGGAGCCTGTCAAAAAAAAAAAAAAAAAGGAGACTCTGAGGCCCCCACCCAGACCTCCTGGATCAGAATCTGCATTTTAACAAGAGTCGCATGCACATTAAAGTTTGAGGAGCCCTGATCCTCACCTACTCGATTTGACACCTCCATTTTAAAAAATATTTGTTTATTTATATATTTATTCGTCTGCATGAGGTCTTAGTTGCAACACTCAGGATCTTCATCTTGGCCCACAGACTCTCTAGTTGCAGTGTGCGGGATTCATTCCTCTGAGGCATGTGGGATCTTAGTTCTCCAACCAGGGATTGAACCCACGTCCTCTGCATTGCAAGGCAGATTCTTAACCATTGGACCACCAGGGAAGTCTCAACACTGACATTTATGACAAATTATTTTCTAAGTAACTCCTGCTATCAGGTTGGCCAAAAAGTTCATTCAGGGTTTTTCCATACCAGATTGCAGAAAAACTGAAACTTCTTGGCCAACCCAGTGTCTTGAAGTAAAATTCATCACCTACACATATGTGTTTTGTGTATTAAAGTCGCTTCAGTATGTCCAACTCTTTACAACCCTATGGACTGTAGCCCATCAGGCTCCTCTGTCCATGGGATTCTCCAGGCAAGAGTACTGGAGTAGGTTGCCATTTCCTCCTTCAGGGAATCTTCCCGACCCAGGGATCGAACCCACATTTCTTATGTCTCTTGCATTGACAGGCGAGTTCTTTACCACTAGTGCCACCTGGGAAGCCCTATACATATAAGTCCAAAAAAAGAGACCAATATATTGATTTGATGGTAACACAATGGAGAATGAAAAGGAAAGATTTATAAGCATTATATTTCAGCATATGAATGTTCAACACAACTAAAAGATGTGAAAGACAGGGACTTCCCTGGCAGTCCAGTGGTTAGGACTCCATGCTTCCACTGCAGGGGGCACAGGTTCAACCTGTTTGGGGAACTAAGATCCCACATGTCACATGGCATGCCCCCCCAAATTTTTTTAATAAAAAAGATGTGAAGAACCAACCAAGTTTCTAAAGCATATCCAAGGCAGGTGATAGCATCTAGTTGAGAAGTAGTGGTCTATCATCACTGCCATCCTTCTTTCCCTTCCATCTTACAAGTGGAAGGGACTATCTCTCCTCCTTTTCAAAGCTGAGGGATTCTCTTTTGTAACAAAGTTTCTTCTCTACATTCTTCCCAAGGCCATGGGGTGTGTGTGTTTGCGTGCATGCACACTCAGCCGCATCCAACTCTCTGTGACATCATGGACTGTAGCCCGCCAGGTTTCTCTGTCTATGGAATTTTCCCGAGGCCATAAACACTGCCAAATCTTGAATACTGCAACAACCACAGAACAACTCTAAAATCTTGACCAAACACGTCCCTCTAATTACTATACTCTTCCTACTTCCCTTGACAGTCAATCTTCTAAATCGCATTAACTCATCTTTCAGTCACCAACCCATATTAATCTAGTTTTCACTTCCACCAGTAAACCTACATGTATAAAGATCCTGAGTCTTCCAACCAAACTGACCAAATCAGCGAACACTTCTCCAAACCCATCTAACTCATCTTTCTGTAACAGACATTGCTGTTGCACATCCAGTTTCCAGTGTCCCATTGTGTACATGGATTCATTTCTCTCCCAGGTGACTAAGATAGAGTGACCCCATCCTGAGCTGATTCTGTTTTGTCTAAGCTCATCAGGTCATGCCATTCCCCCAGCACTGGCTATTGGGTAAGGTGCAGACACCTGACATAAGCTGACCTATCAGATTGAAGGAAGAGTGTAATCCAAGTCTGAAGTTTTGTCCTCTCTTGCTCTAGTGGATGAGAAAGTGTGTGTTACTAGTAGTCATCTTGCAAACTTAAGGGGAACCAATCTTACTGCGGAAAGCCAAGAAAAGAGATGGGGACCCTGAAGACATTGTTGACCCACTGGAATCCACCCTTCCTCTGGATTTTATGAGATAATTTTCCTTACTGTTTATGCCATTGGGTTTTCCCAAATTGAAAGCATCTACTCCTTGGAAGGAAAGTTATGACCAACCTAAACAGCATATTAAAAAGCAGAGACATCACTTTGCCAACAAAGGTCTGTCTAGTCAAGGCTATGGTTTTTCAAGTGGTCATGTATGGATGTGAGAGTTGGACTATAAAGAAGGCTGAGCGCTGAAGAATTGATGCTTTCCAACTATGGTGTTGGAGAAGACTCCTGAGAGTCCCTTGGAATGCAAGGAGATCCAACCAGTCCATCCTAAAGGAAATCAGTCCTGGGTGTTCATTGGAAGGACTGATGTTGAAGCTGAAACTCCAATACTTTGGCCACCTGATGCGAAGAGCTGACACATTTGAAAAGACCCTGATGCTGGGAAGATTGAGGGCAGGAGAAGGGGACGACAGAGGATGAGATGGTTGGATGGCATCACCGACTCAAGGACATGGGTTTGGGTGGACTCCGGGAGTTGGTGATAGACAGGGAGACCTGGCGTGCTGCAGTTCACGGGGTCACAGAGTCAGACACGGCTGAGCGACTGAACTGAACTGAACTAACATCCCTGAACTTCCCTCTCTTCATTTTCTAAATATCACTCTTATGCCCCTACTTATCTTATGCCCCTGCTTTTCAAAAATTTCTGGCCTCCCCTCTTCCTCCTCCTTACATTTTAGTATCCACCAAGGTTTGCTGTGAGCTTTTCTACTAAAAAAAAAAGTTTCAACAATTTCAGTTCCCTTTATCTTTCCCTTGATACAGCAGAACTAAGTTGGTGGCACTTTCCCAATGGAGTACCACTGCTGCTGTTCCCCAACTCAATCAGTTGAGGAACTCCCGTCTCTCAAAACTTGCCTTGTCTGAAGTCCCCAGGGCTTCCTTGCTCTTTTGCACCATAGACCTCTTCGGCAGTCTGATGAGTCCTTTGGACCCCTTCTTCAAAAAATGCTTCTAATTGCGTAAAATGCCAATTACAGTGCAGTATAATTGTTTTTAAGACCAAAAATCTGATACAGTAATGTGTTTCTTTACTAGCTCATTAAATAAGATGTAACAGTGAGTCTTATAACTACTATAATTTTGATGTAATGATGAATATAAATGATATTTGGAGATCTGCAACAACTATAATATGATATGACAATGTCTGTGACATGCACTGGTCCTACTGACTTCGACTGGTGACAGGTACTGCTAATACTACTGTAGCTTGTTGCTGTAGTAGCTTATTAAATGAATTGCTCCCAGTGAACCATATGTACTCACATCTATGCTCTGTGTAGTCCCCACCGTACTGACTCTGGGCTTGGCCATGTAACTTGTCTTGACATCAGCAAATGTGATGCAAGCAGGTGTTCATGCCTCAGGACAAGCCTTCTTGGAAACCAGTAACCATGTGAGGAAGCCCAAGATAGCCATACTGACGGGCCCCAGGCCCACAGATATGGGAGAAAGGCCACCTTGTAGTCTAGCCACCAGCTGAATTTAGAACTGCCCAGCCAACCTATGGGTGGTGAGAAATAAAAAAATCATTGTGGTTTTAAGGTCATTATCCAAAAATGGATAACTGAAACAGTTACCTACATTCATAACTGAAGGAAATGCTAAACTTCACCAGAAGATTAGTGAAAAAGATTATACTTTCCCATCAAAGTTCAGGGACCCCCGAATTCTACTCACAGACCCTCTGAGGGAACGAGATCCACACGTTGAGAACCCCTAGTAAGACAGATTCTACTCATTTTACTACCACAGTACATTAATAATGTAAACTGATCATAGCATATCCTTAGTTGTTGCAACCCTAAAACTGAGCCAAACTCCTAGCACGTAAGTGTTTCAACACAAATTTATGAAATAAATGCAAGATGCTTTTGTGCTTTGTTTTCCTAACTAAACTGTGAGCTGCCTGTAAACAAAAGAAAAGCAAATACTTAGATGTCACTCCTATGTGCCAGGGCCTCTTCCAAGTGCTTCAAACCTAATGTATTTATTCCTTATAACAACCCTACAAGGTAGAAGCTAGTTCCCCAATTTCACCAATAGGAAATCAGGCACAGAAAGGCCAAGTGACTTGCCCAAGGTCACACAGCTGGAAAGTGGCAACGCCACAAGTGGAAGGCCAAATCCATGGTCTGGTTTTATTCTGTCCTAATGCCCCCAAAGCCATAAACCGTAAGTAGTACAATTCTGACATTTCATTAGCACTATTTTATGAGTGCGCTGCTTCAAGACTCGATTTTGTAGACTCCTTTCTAATAGCCTGTGATTTGTTTTTCATGATATACAAATATCATTTACTCTTTTTAAAGAACAATGTCTTCATATTAAAATGCAGATTTTCGAGACAGTCTTCACTGTAAAAGTCAACTTCTTTCAAAGGACACGAGTTCATAAAATGGAAAGAAGGAGGTCAATTTGTTCATACTATATAACGTTTGCTGGGAGGAGGAGAGAAGTTCCAGTTGCTCCTTCTCATCCAGCCCTTCCCAGGCCAGCCTCTCCGACTTCCTGCAGCAGCTTCTCCAAAGGTGACCCTCCCCCATTCATACAGCAGGTCCTGAAACCTGACCTTGCCAGGCAACCAAAGCCGAACCCCGCAGTGCCCTGATGTGGCCTAACTTTTCTAACGAACCCAAGAGGCGACCAGCCGGAAGGTGGATACTTTGAGGGGTACTTTAAATTTTTAAGTGTTTTATTCACGAGAGCACAAACCAAAAGGCCCCACCCAGCCACCCGGGGTCTCACGCCTCCGCCCGGCAGCCGCTCGCTCCACGCGGACCTCTGAATGAACAGCGAGGCCGGGACACAGCCGGCCCGGAGGCGGGAAAAACCTCGGGACGAGCCGGGCCTGGTCCCCGGAGAGGCCCACGAGAGCGCGGGGAGGGCTCCGGGCGGCCGGGAGGGGGCGGTGACAGCTGTGACCCGGCTCCACTCTCTCACCTTGAACATGTCGCTGGCAGCGGCAGCTCCGGCGGGGTCACCCCAGCCTTGGCCCCGCCCACTAGAGAGAGAGAGAGGCGGCTACGGCGGCCGGCTAGGGCCCGATTCTTCCGACCGCAAGTGGGCCGCGGTGCGGGTGACGGCCGCACAGCCAATTCCGTGCGGCCAAGGCTTAGCTCGGAAGCCGGGATCTGAAATCCGCGTTGTTGAACTGCAGCGCGTGGCGCCTCAGGCGGCGAGCGAACTCAAGCCCCGCCTTCCGGAGGCTCCGCCCCTGCGCCGGCGGTTGCTAGGCGGCGGGAAAGCGCCAGCTCCGTGAGGGCCGCACGCGGGGGCACGAGGAGGGAGGCGCCGCAGCCCGCGCAGCGCTGGGAATCTGCCTTCGCCGCGGTGATTGGACGCCCAGCTGCGTAGGCTGAGACTCTTGTGTGCGGAGGCCGCCAGGCGGGGGCGCTCGTCAGGCCTCGGGCGGCAGCGAAGGCCTCGGAGACGCAAACCGCCGACTTCTGGGGCCTGGATTTGCCTCACAAAAGGTTTTTACTTGTGTGGTGTTTTTTTTTGTTTGTTTGTTTGTTTCCACTCTGGGCGGGACAGTTTTAAGATTTTAAATTTAAACTGATTTGCCACATCCTTTCATCTCGAAAGACCCTGAAATTTTTTTTCTTTAAAATACTTAAGCCTCTTGTCTCTTACTGGGAATCAATTGTTGTTCCCTTAATACTAATAGAAATAAGTAATAATGGTAATAATTATCTTATTGACAAGAATAGCAATGAGCAACAGCGTTTACTCTATGCCAGGCTTTTACCTAAACTCCATACACATATTGTCTTCTCTTTCCAAATACCCAAGTAAGTGGACACGGTTATTATTCCTCATCTAGTAGATGAAGAAACTGAAGCACAGAGAATAGATGCAAGGCCATAGAGAAGGAAAGTGGAAGATGCAAGGCCATAGAGAAGGAAAGTGGAAAGTCAGGATCCAAATCTACCTAGTCGAGCTTTAAAGCCTGTGGTCTCACCTCAACAACTGTCACGTTGGCTTATAATGGGGTTGTGTTTCGTATAATATTTCGTTCTGTATTTCACATCTAATCCCATAGCAAGTGTAAGCCCATCCAAGCAGGCATCTAGAAGATTTGGGGGATTTGTGTGGTGCTGTGTCCCTGCCCTCCAGCCAAAGACCACTAGGAACACATCTGTAGTTGAACAAGTTGGGTTTGTTTCTTGCAGCTGCTAGGAAAATGCACACCTTGGGAAACAGTGGGGCATCTCAGTGAGAGAGTGTTAGAAAGATTTATTCTAGAATTTGGTCTTTGGTTGGGTGATTTGGGGACGGGTTCGAGGAAGCAGGGCTTTGCTCTGGGTTGGGTGGTGGTAGGAAGCCAGGGTTAACACCTAAGCCCAGCTGTGAATGCCAGGCCAGCTCCTGGATATTAAGGACTGCTTTTCTCTTTCTCAAGAGATCAGTGTATTCCAAGCCATCCCCAGCCCATTTCTAAGGAGAAATATTGAGATTCTGAAGGCTCTGCCTCAGTAATGGAATGTCATATGTATATAAAAGTGTGACTTATAAGTGATCAGTTAGGGCAAGAAGTCTTAATTCAGGGAGTATGTGAACTTGGGAAAAAATTGCAACTTTTCCCAAACCTCTACCTGAACTTTAGCATTTCTTTCAATTATATGTAGGTAACAAACCACAGTAGTATCAGCAGTACCTGTGGCTTTGTCATCAATAGAAAACACACTCTTTTCATATCACATTACAGTCACAGCAAATTTCCTGAAATACTGTTTCTACTTATTACCACTTCACAAGTACAGAGGTCTCATTTAATGCATAAAGAAGACCCATTTCTAGAATTTTGTCTTTGAAAATATTTTGACAATAATTTCAAGATAATTGGAGTCTTTCATAATCCCATATATTTTATATTATGTATTTTAAGCAACATAGTTCTTAGAAGGAGTTTGTCCTATATAGGGGTCCATGGCACCAAAAGAAAAGATTAAGAGACCCTGGTTTAGTACAAGACACTCAGCAGTGACTAAGAATTTGTGAGCTGCTTCCAAATTGGAGTAATGTGTAAGGGATAGAAAATCAGAGGTGGAATCAGATCACTTATTACACATCCTCTCACTTTACCAGAGAGGGAACTGAGTTACTGAGAGGTTAAGGGACTTGCCCAAAGTCTCACAGCTATTCCATTATAAAACCAGGATGAAAAGTTTTTAGAAAGCATATAAAAACCCTCCACTCTGATGTGCATTGGGGATCCCATGGATAGCAAGCTGCCTCCTGCCTTCAACCAACTTGTTGGAATGACAGCCAAGAAATCAAATTATGGTGCATTTGAGAAGTACTGTGAAAGAAAAACATATACAGTATTATGGGACCTTGAAGACAGTAGTGAGTAGTTCTGTAAAAAGGAAACGATGGAAAACTTCTGAGAAGAGGCATCACTTAGATGGGATCTTGAAGGGTGAATTGATGTTTGCTGGTGGTAGGAAAGTTGTTTCAGGTAGAGGAAATGGCATGGTCATCAGTACAGAGTTGTAAAACACTGACTTTGGGAAGAAATTCTTATTCTCACAGAGTATAGAGAGGCATGCTAGTGGAAAGTTGGTATTTTGAGATTAGAGAGAATGGGGCTAGATTGTGAAAAGACTTGCACACAAGTCTAAGGAGTCTGCACTTTAGCTTGGAGGAAATGAGGTGTCCCTGAAAGATTTTAAGTTGAAGAGTGATAAGGTTGGATTATTACTCTGAGAAGTTAACTCCAGCTGCAGTGTGGAGAATGAACAGGCTGGAGACCGGGAGACCAATTAAAAGGCTATGGGTAGATCCACTGTCTTTCCTATATACCTCACAATTCTTGTAGCACACAGAGGATGTAAGTAATATTGAGATCTATGAAACCTTCCTTTTTCAGGGGCTCTGGAATTAGCCTAACAATCATATGGAACTTGAGTCTCATCTAAGCAGTGTAATAACATAGATTATGACCTCAAATGTTTAATTTATATACTTTCAGAGTATTTCACTGTGAGGAAAATGAGTCATTCCCTGAAGATACCAGTTACTGGTGTCCCAAAATCAGATAATCCACTCTTGGGAAAAGGTCACAAAGTACATTTCTCAAATACTGTAAAGACAAAGGAAAAACAACAGTAAGTAGCCATCTTCTACAACTGGACAGTTTCCGTATGATGTTTACCCAGCTAACATCCAACACTTCTTGTTTTGTAAATTAGAGGGGTTTTTTGTGTGTTTTAAAATTACTTTTGAATTGAATAATAATTATTATAATTACAGTATTTCATAATTGACAAGGCATGTTAACACACATCTCTTTGATCTTAACACAACTTTGTGATGCAGTCTTGTTGCCACATTTTGTAAGTGAGGAAGTAGCAACTGGAAGAAGGTAAGCAATTTGCAGAAAGTTAATAGATGACATCAGCTACTTTTCAAGGGTTTGTTTCCATACTTCAGGACTTTTCTGCTCTACATCTTGTAGTCTGCACTTTGCCAGCTGGCAGCGACACTATACGGGAGTACCTCTCTTTGCATGCAGCCCTGTGATAGGTAATGATAGGGTTGTAGGGGGCAGTTCTTGGAGAGTGAGATTCCTACAATCTGCCACTGCTGGGACATGATCAAAGTAGAATGATGCTCTGACCTTCTGACTGGGATGAGACTGGCTCAAACAAAGATCAGAGAAGGGAATTTCTTTTTCTAGGGCATGGTCATCCGCTCCCAGAACAACATTGGGCCTCCTGTAACTTCACATATTCTACATTCTATTTTCTTAGCATTTGAACTAGTTGGACAATGTCTTTAAGAACTAACTCTAATGGAATCATTTTAGGTCACAGATGTTTTTAGAAAGCACATTTTTTTATGATAAAATTTTACCAGGATTTTTTTAATCTCGAGGGAAATATTCTGAAGTATTTCATATCCTCATTCTGACTAGATTCTACAGATGACCAGTTCTAATTACCACATCGAAATGTTCCTCATTAAGTCAGACTTAGGGTGGGGGATGGGGAGGTGCAAGAGGAGGAAGCATAAATTCAAAGTTCCCCAAGATTTTAGGAAAATGAAAACTACTTCACAAATCTTAAGCTCTTTTGTTTCCTCTCAGAAATAAAGATGTTTCGGCTCACGTGATACAGAGAGCTTGGTTATCTCATCTCGACAAAACTGTGTTTCAACTCCTTAAGCATACAATTTGTGCAGCGGTATGTATTTTGCTTTTTGTTTGCTCTGACAGATATAATTACTTATCAAGGTAAAATGTGTGTTAAATAAAGATAGAATATATAGCCTTTTAAAATCTCTTCTCTTTGAATCTAATCATATTGCAGGGGGTTGTGGCATTTCTTCTTTGGTTAACCCTGAATGAATATTTCTGGATTTACTTTTTAAAATTAATTATTTTAACTGGAGGATAATACTTTATAATATTGTGATGGTTTTTGCCATACGTCAACATGAATCAGCCACGGGTATACATGGATTTACTTTAAAGCTGAGTAACTATTGTTTCTTTTTCTGAAACCAATGTGATTTTTTAAAATTCCATTTCTTATTTGAAGATGTGAGACAGTGATCTTACAACGCTAAAAGTCTCTGACAAAGTGCCTGTACCATCCACTCAGCAGTTTTACTTCTAGGAATCCACTCTACAATATATATATAAATTCATTGGAGTATTGTTATAACAGCAAAGAAAATAAACCCTATAATGTCCATCAATAGGATACTGGTTAAATAAATGTTGATACTTTCATACTGTTAAGCCTTGCAGCCTTGCATATGATTCTGCAATAGAAGGTAGCTAAAATATCTCATTAGTAAACAAGGCAAGTACAGCACATTATGAATAATATAGTCCTATTTGAATAAAAACAAACCAACAAACAAAAAGGTGCACATCCCCTCACTCCCCAAAGAAACAACTCTGGCAACCCTGGCAGAGTATTAAGCCTTCTTTCATATAGTACCTAATATTCTCCTAATAAAATCACCTGTGATTACAGTAGTCTATAATTAGTAATAGTCACATTAAGGGAATTTTAGCAGTTCTGAAAAAAAATGATAAACGCTGAGAAATGTGTACACTTACTCACCATCTGACCTACAGACCCATTTCTGATGTCAGCAAAAGCAGAATATCTCAGAGAAAACCTATTCAGGTAAACCTGTGACATTTCAGGTCCATTGTCTATTGTCTTCACATGTGGAATGTGTATTTAATTATTGTAATGCTGGTTTGTCATAATTTTAAACTCTTTTAGTAACAGAAAAAAAGAAATTAATTCTTTTTTAATCTGTTAACCTAACACTTCAAGTTACTGTAATACCTTACATTAATAATGCTTTGTCATTTTAAAAGCCCTGTAGTGTACATTTTTATGTGATTGTCATAATAAAGGTTGGGCAGGGTCATAGTGGGGGGAAATGGGGCCTTTAGAATTAAACAGATCTAAGTTTGAATCCTGGTTTCTCTGCTTACTACTTTTATGCCTTTGAATGGGTTACAGACACTCCCAGAGCCTCAGCATGCTCATCTGTAAAATGGGAATGATAATATTCAAATATTTATGTGTATAAGGTACCTAATGTAGTGTGGTATATAAAAGGCGCTTAAAATCTAGTACCATTTCTATTATTATCCTCATTTTACAGTGATTCACTCAACATCAAATACTTATTTAGTACCTGCTGTGTTCCAGGCACTGTACTAGATACTAGGAATGCAATGGTAAAAAACAAATAAATGGCCCCTGCCTTCATGAAGCTTACGATATAGTAGGAAACACAGACACATTTATAGTTAGTTACAGCACATTGTGAAAAGTGCTGTCTTAGGGAAAGAACAGTGCCTGGGATCCCAAGGAGGTATACATACCCAAACTTGGAGGCCAAAGGGATAAAGTAGTGACTCAAGGTGACACAGATGATAAGTGAGGGAGCCAAGACTAGAACTCAGATCTTTAGAATACCAAGTCTGGTGTACTTTCACTTTACCATGCCTCCTGTGTTGTTTTCAGTAAACTGTGCCTGGGCAGGGTACTGTGTTTCATTGATGGCACCATCATCTATTTCAGGAATATCACGTGACACATGAAATTTTGAAGAAAGTGAGCCCTTTAGAGGCTGAGCTTGTTAAAGATCCTTGCATGAAGTGTAAAGTTAGATTCAGGTAATGTTTTTATGCAGATTCATTTCAAGAAGTACTTAGTATGAAGAAATCTTAGAAATTTATTTTCTTAAGTCCTCATAACTTCTCACATTATAATTACAAATTAAGTGTCTTGTTCTTATTTATTATGTGAAGAAGCCAAGGCATGACTCTCTCAGGCCAAAAGTTGCCTTGAGAGTAGCTCTCATCTCCTATGATGTGTTCAGTCTGACACACATATGAGAATAGTTGTGCACACATGTCAAAGTGGGGCTCTTTCATCCTTTGTGATCCATTTCATTGCTAGTTCTTTTCATGCTCTGGTATAGCCTTTAACCTGCATGTAAGAAACTATGTGAATGATCCTAAGTACAAGAGGGAGAAGTAGCTGAGTCCCAAGTCTGATACCAAATGACTAATTCTGGTCTTTATTTCAGATTTGGTGGCGAAATATTTCCACCTTTCATCGTATTTAAAATTTTTCTTCACACTGAAGGCCATGGTTATAAGTATTTCAGCGGAAAAAAATTTTTAAAGCCATCAAGTGAGGTGATGTTTAATGATGTAGAGTTTGTGTTAATTTAGCTTCTTAACATCTCTCTGATATCTGAATTGCATTCAAAGTATACAGACTACATTATTTCACCATTAAATAGCCCAGCAGGCAGGTAGTATTTTTTAAGCATCATGTTTCAAAGTGTCTTTGCTTATTAGCTAAAAAAAATATATTGGGAATGAAGTACTTGTATAAGAACCTAGGAAATACCCATCAGTTTTCTTTGTACGAAAATTTTGGTTTGTTAATAATGAATTACAGTGACTTATTGGTCAGGAGTTTTATTATTAATTATATTAATAATGTTTATTATGTTTGTTATGATAATTTAATTACATTGTTAAATATTTTTATTTTTAACTATGTAGAACATTTGATGCAATTTTGTTTTCATGGTATTTTATCATTGTCTCTTTGATTCTGGTAGCCTGTTTAGAACAAGTGTGCTAGAGTATTGAAAAGGAACTTTTAAAATATTTATCCTTTTTTACATGAGTTCTTATACTTCTTACTTTCATTTATATTCATCACAATTGTGTCTACAGCATAAGACTCACCTGATCTTATTAAAATACAGTTTCTGATTCAGTCAATCAGGGATGAAGCCTGAGATTCTGAATTTCTACCCAGTTCCCAGGTGCTGCAACTGCTGCTGATCCATGGACCACATTTTTTTAAAAAATATTTATTTCTTTGGCTGCACTGATTCCTAGTTACAGCACTCGGGATCTTGTTGCACCACTGACTCTCTAGTTGTGGCACTCAGGCTTAGTTGCTCCAAGGCATGTGGGATTTTAGTTCTACCCGGGATCAAACCTGTGTCCCCAGCATTGCAAGGCAGATTCTTAAACGCTGGACCACCAGGGAAGTCTCTAGACCATATTTTTAATAGCAAGGATCTACAACTTAAGTTTTATTCCTTTGACCCTTATACATGACTATAATTGATTTTTTTAAAAGTGTACATTCTCATATTTAGCCTTTTATAAACCATATAGCAAAGGTTATTTTCTTGTAGACTTATGGAAATATTTTACATGAAAGGTATGACCCACCTGAAATCATCAGTACTGGCATGTATTCAGAATAAAAGACCACACAGCCTGGAAGTTTCTGACCAGATCCAGCATGTGCAGCATTTATTCTCTGCAGAGTATTAGAAAAGGAAAAGAGACTGCTTCTCTATGTATTCTCAGGCATTACCAGAGAAAATTTAGCTTGGCTTCAGAAATGTAGCATAAGAACTAGTGGTTTCATGTGGAATATGGTGTTTCAGAAACATTAATATTTGTTCATTTATATATCAATAGAATGATTTCAATTGTGAAAGTATGTATTTATTCTCCATTCCAGAGATAAATCCATTTTCACATATATCTACAGGATAAACTTATAGTTGTCCCTATAAAATGTCATCAGTTGTTGCTTTTCTGAGGTTATATAATGGGGCTTTTTTAGGAACGTACGTTTTCCCAAGACAGTTCCTAGCAGACCCTGCTATGCCCAGGCTACTGCAAATGAGAAGCTTGAGTCTATGACTGGAAAGCACTGTGCATATATTACAAGGCATTAAAAATGCTGTACAGTAACTTAAATTTATTTTAATTACAAAGTAACTGTTGAAAAAAAGGAAATAGCACAGAGAATTTTTTTCTTTTTTTTATTTATTTTTTTCCCAATTATTTTTATTAGTTGGAGGCTAATTACTTTACAATATTATAGTGGTTTTTGCCATACATTAACATGAATCAGCCATGGATTTACATGTATTCCCCATCCTGAACCCCCGTCCCACCTCCCTCCCCACCCCATTCCTCTGGGTCATCCCAGTGTACCAGTCCCAAGCACTTGTCTCATGCATCCAACCTAGGCTGGTGATCTGTTTCACCCTAGACAATATACATGTTTCTATGCTGTTCTCTCAGATCATCCCACCCTCGCCTTCTCCCACAGAGTCCAAAAGTCTATTCTATACATCTGTGTCTCTTTTTCTGTCTTGCATATAGGGTTATCGTTACCATCTTTCTAAATTCCATATATATGCATTAGTATACTGTATTGGTGTTTATCTTTCTGGATTACTTCACTCTGTATAATGGGCTCCAGTTTCATCCATCTCATTAGAACTGATTCAAATGTATTCTTTTTAATGGCTGAGTAATATTCCGTAGTGTATATGTACCACAGCTTCCTTATCCATTCGTCTACTGATGGGCATCTAGGTTGTTTCCATGTCCTGGCTATTATAAACAGTGCTGCGATGAACATTGGGGTGCACGTGTCTTTCAGATCTGGTTTCCTCGGTGTGTATGCCCAGGAGTGGGATTGCTGGGTTATATGGCAGTTCTATTTCCGGTTTTTTAAGGAATCTCCACACTGTTATCCATAGTGGCTGTACTGGTTTGCATTCCCACCAACAGTGTAAGAGGGTTCCCTTTTCTCCACACCCTCTCCAGCATTTATTGCTCATAGACTTTTGGATAGCAGCCATCCTGACTGGCGTGTAATGGTACCTCATTGTAGTTTTGATTTGCATTTCTCTGATAGTGAGTGATGTTGAGCATCTTTTCATGTGTTTGTTAGCCATCTGTATGTCTTCTTTGGAGAAATGTCTGTTTAGATCTTTGGCCCATTTTTTGATTGGGTCATTTATTTTTCTGGAATTGAGCTGCAGGAGTTGCTTGTATATTTTTTAGATTAATCCTTTGTCTGTTGCTTCATTTGCTGTTATTTTCTCCCATTCTGAAGGCTGTCTTTTCACCTTGCTTATAGTTTCCTTTGTTGTGCAAAAGCTTTTAAGTTTCATTAGGTCCCATTTGTGTATTTTTGCTTTTATTTCCAATATTCTGGGAGGTGGGTCATAGAGGATCTTGCTGTGATTTATGTCGGAGAGTGTTTTGCCTATGTTCTCCTCTAGGAGTTTTGTAGTTTCTGGTCTTACATTTAGATCTTTAATCCATTTTGAGTTTATTTTTGTGTATGGTGTTAGAAAGTATTCTAATTTCATTCTTTTACAAGTGGTTGACCAGTTTTACCAGCACCACCTGTTAAAGAGGTTGTCTTTTTTCCATTGTATATCCTTGCCTCCTTTGTTGAAGATAAGGTGTCCATAGGTATGTGGATTTTTCTCTGGGCTTTCTATTCTGTTCCATTGATCTATATTTCTGTCTTTGTGCCAGTACCATACTGTCTTGATGACTGTGGCTTTGTAGTATAGTCTGAAGTCAGGCAGGTTGATTCCTCCAGTTCCATCTTCTTTCTCAAGATTGCTTTGGCTATTTGAGGTTTTTTGTATTTCCATACAAATTGTGACATTATTTGTTCTAGTTCTGTGAAGAATACCATTGTGAGCTTGATAGGGATTGCATTGAATCTATAGATTGCTTTGGGTAGTATAGTCATTTTCACAATATTGATTCTTCCAATCCATGAACATGGTCTATTTCTCCATCTATTGTGTCCTGTTTGATTTCTTTCATCAGTGTTTTATAGTTTTCTATGTATAGGTCTTTTGTTTCTTTAGGTAGATATACTCCCAAGTATTTTATTCTTTTTGTTGCAATGGTGAGTGGTATTGTTTCCTTAATTTCTCTTTCTGTTTTCTCATTGTTAGTGTATCGGAATGCAAGGGATTTCTGTGTGTTAATTTTATATCATGCAACTTTACTGTATTCATTGATTAGCTGTAGTAATTTTCTGGTAGAGTCTTTAGGGTTTTCTATGTAGAGAATCATGTCATCTGCGAACAGTGAGAGTTTCACTTCTTCTTTTCCTATCTGGATTCCTTTTATTTCTTTTTCTGCTCTGATTTCTGTGGCCAACACTTCCAAAACTATGTTAAATAGTAGTGGTGAGAGTGGGCACCCTTGTCTTGTTCCTGATTTTAGGGGAAATGCTTTCAATTTTTCACCATTGAGGGTGATGCTTGCTGTGGGTTTGTCATATATAGCTTTTATTATGTTGAGGTATGTTCCTTCTATTCCTGCTTTCTGGAGAGTTTTTATCATAAATGGATGTTGAATTTTGTCAAAGGCTTTTTCTGCATCTATTGAGATAATCATATGGTTTTTATCTTTCAATTTGTTAATGTGTATTACGTTGATTGATTTGCGGATATTAAAGAATCCTTGCATTCCTGGGATAAAGCCCACTTGGTCATGGTGTATGATCTTTTTAATATGTTGTTGGATTCTGTTTGCTAGAATTTTGTTAAGGATTTTTGCATCTATGTTCATCAGTGATATTGGCCTGTAGTTTTCTTTTTTTGTGGCATCTTTGTCTGGTTTTGGAATTAGGGTGATGGTGGCCTCATAGAATGAGTTTGGAAGTTTACCTTCTGCAACTTTCTGGAAGAGTTTGAGTAAGATAGGTGTTAGCTCTTCGCTAAATTTTTGGTGGAATTTGGCTGTGAAGCCATCTGGTCCTGGGCTTTTGTTTGCTGGGAGATTTCTGATTACAGTTTCGATTTCTGTGCTTGTGATGGGTCTGTTAAGATCTTGTATTTCTTCCTGGTTCAGTTTTGGAAAGTTATACTTCTCTAAGAATTTGTCCATTTCTTCCAAGTTGTCCATTTTATTGGCATAGAGCTTGTGATAGTAGTCTCTTACGATCCTTTGTATTTCAGTGTTGTCTGTTGTGATCTCTCCATTTTCATTTCTAATTTTGTTGATTTGGTTCTTCTCCCTTTGTTTCTTAATGAGTCTTGCTAACAGTTTGTCGATCTTGTTTACCTTTTCAAAAAACCAGCTTTTAGCTTTGTTGATTTCTGCTATGGTCTCTTTTGTTTCTTTTGCATTTATTTCTGCCCTAATTTTTAAGATTTCTTTCCTTCTACTAACCCAGGGGTTCTTCATTTCTTCCTTCTCTAGTTGCTTTAGGTGTAGAGTTAGGTTATTTATTTGACTTTTTTCTTGTTTCTTGAGGTAAGCCTGTAATGCTATGAACCTTCCCCTTAGCACTGCTTTTACAGTGTCCCATAGCTTTTGGGTTGTTGTGTTTTCATTTTCGTTTGTTTCTATGCATATTTTTGTTTCTTTTTTGATTTCTTCTATGATTTGTTGGTTATTCAGAAGCGTGTTATTTAGCCTCCATATGTTGGAATTTTTAATAGTTTTTTTCCTGTAATTGAGATCTAATCTTACTGCATTGTGGTCAGAAAAGATGACTGGAATGATTTCAGTTTTTTTGAATTTACCAAGGCTAGATTTATGGCCCAGGATGTGATCTATTCTGGAGAAGGTTCTGTGTGCACTTGAGAAAAAGGTGAAATTGCTTGTTTTGGGGTGAAATGACCTATAGGTGTCAATTAGGTCTAGCTGGTCCATTGTGTCATTTAAAGTTTGTGTTTCCTTGTTAATTTTCTGTTTAGTTGATCTATCCATAGGTGTGAGTGGGGTATTAAAGTCTCCCACTATTATTGTGTTATTGTTAATTTCCCCTTTCATACTCGTTAGTATTTGCCTTACGTATTGCAGTCCTCCTATGTTGGGTGCATATATATTTATAATTGTTATATCTTCTTCTTGGATTGATCCTTTATATAGCAGAGATTTCTTTAAAAAGGAAAATATACCTTTCTTCTGCAGCTTTCATTTACCTGGGATGATCACTGTTAATTGTTGTGTATCCTTCATTTTTTCCATAAAAAATATAAATATATTGCTAAAATTTTTGTTCTTATTTTTAAATGAGATTATACTTTTCAGCTTTTTTCACTAAATATTATAAAGGCTTGTAAATGGTCAGAACATATCCAACTTGAAAAGAACAGGTTAGGGTTCCTTTTACCCTTTAGTTCAGCTTCAAAAGAAACTCTGGCACTATTTGAATTCATAGTTAATAGAAAACCTGTAGAAATGGAAATTTCAGTGACTCTAAGGTCACTGAATTATTTTTCTCTTTGAATATATAATAGACACTATGTCTTGAGCAACCTGCTGCAACTTTATTAAGTTTATTTCTTAATGTAAAAGAAGTCAGTCAGTTTTAGTCCATTTAGATGTTTAATCTAAGTTCATTTATGAAGGAGGGGAGTTTCACCAATTCTTTTTTGTTGTTCCATCTTTCCCCTCATTCTTATATCCATTTCTAGTTTCATTTCCTTATGATTTTCCAACAGCCTTTCTCATTTATTTACAAACACACTGTCACACACAAAAGCAAAAACAAGTGAAAGGATATAGAATAGCCTAAACTACTTTAGAGAAAAAAAACAAAATTAGACAATTTACCCTGCCTGATTTCAAGACTTAAAACACTACAGTAATCCTGATGCTATAATGATGGCAAAAAGACAGACATGTAGATCAATGAAACAGAAAAGATAATTCAAAAATAGACGCACACATCAGTTGATTTTTATCAAAGGTTTGAAGGCAGTTTAAATGGTGCCAGAACAATTGAATAGTCATGTGCATAAAAGTGATCTAATTTCATTTATCTACCTCAATGATCTATTTCCAGAGCAATGCTTATCTACACAGGGTTGTCATATAGTAGTCCACCAACTATATTTAGAATATTCTAAAGCCTTGCTACTCAAAATGTGGTCTGCAAACAAAGGAAACTATACAGAAACCAAAAACAGTTTTTAAAACTAAATATAAAATAAAGTGTGATCTGCAAACCTGCAGCAATGGCATTCCCTGGAGCTTATTAGAAATGCAGGCTCTCAGGCCCCACCTCACAGCCACTGAATCAAGTGCAATTTAACAGGATCCCCAGGTGATTCTAGGCACAATATAGTTTGACAAGCACTGTCATAAAGGTGCCCTCCCCCATGACCTAGACACCTCTGGGTAGTTGACAATTCCTTAACATCCAGCAATTGTTAAATTGAAAATCCCTGTTCTTTTTGAGGATTGAATGTTTATGTAAAAGGGAAAAACATTGTTAATAATAGCTGCCCTTATTGAGCACCATCAAGTATGATGTTAAACATTTTAAGCACATTATCATTTAATTCTCATAAATTCTAGAATGTAGATTCTGTTACTGTCTTCATTTTTTAAAAGATTAAGTAACTTGCCTAAGGTCTCACAACTACAAAGTGAAGGAACTGACATCAAGACCAAGTGAACCTGACTCCAGAGCCGTGTTCTTAACCACTTCTGAGTCAGGAACCCTACTAAATATGTTTTCTTATGTGGCTCCCTGACAACTCTGATGAGGTACGTGTCATTCCCATTTTTCCTGTGTGGAAGCTGGAACTTGGAGAGGCTTGTCAGAGCCAGAACTGAGACTTGAACACTTCATATTTCCACCATACTGTGCACACTTTGGGGTTGAAACAATGTTCCACCGTACTGTGCACACTTCGGGGTAGAAACAATGTTAGTAGTGATGGTGGCTTTATTAACTCTGAGCTTATATATAATTGAACTTTTCTAAACCAAGATACCCTGTTCCTGAGCATTTATTACTACCTTCATGAGTGAGAATTTCCAGCCAGGGAGAGAAGTGACTTGAGATATGAGGGTAACTTAACAAGCCCAACTGTAGATCTTGGCAAGCAAGTAGCCACAAGGCTGTGGGGGCTTCTGGACCACAGCTATGCTAGCTACCAGGAGAGGTATCAAATTGAGAGATGCCCCCTCTGACCTGGGCTTCCCTGGTGGCTCAGTGGTAAAGAATCTGCCTGCCAATGCAGGAGACTAGAGTTCAGTCCCTGGGTAGGGAAAATCCCCTGGAGAAGGAAATGGCAACCCACTGCAGTATTCTTGCCTTTGAAATCCCTTGGACAGAGAAGCCTGGCGGGCTACAGTCCATGGGGTCCCAAAAGAGTCGGACACAATTTAGGGATTAAAAAACAACAAAAACAACTGCCCTCTGACCCTTTGAGTCACCCACTAAGAATGGAACCTGCCTCTAGAATTCTAGTCTTGATTGGTTGCTCTTGTGGAATCCTTGCCTAGTTTTATCCCTTTCTTTTCTCCTTTCTTCCTTTTCTCTTCATTCCCATCCCTTCCTACCCAGAAGGACTTTCTGAACCTGGCCATAGACAGCCAATGTCTGAGAAAGAACATCTTGGCCACTGGAGGGCAAGCTTTTTTCAAACCCCTGACACAGCTGGGCAACAAGCCTGCCCTGTGATGCCAGGCGCCGGGGTTTTTTGGCTGAGAGACTGGAATGGGCTTGACACACCTGAGCCACACAGCTGAGCTGCCGTATGAATAAGAAAACTGGAGCTTGGAGAGATTGGTGGTGGTGGCTGAGTGGAGTAGAGTAGGGAGGAACTGACAAGAAATACTTTTTCTCTCTTTTTAAAATATGTGTTTACTTATTTGGCTGCACTGGGTTTTAGTTGCGACATGTGGGATCTAGTTCCCTGACCAGGGATTGAACCTGAGCCCCCTGCTTTGGGAGCACAGAATCTTAGCCAGGGAAGTCCCAGAAATACCTTTTCTAAGTAACCTGAGCTAAAGTAAAATATATGTATATCTACTAAAGAAATTCTCAAGGCAGAAATTATATGGTTTTCAGACCTGTTCAGTGTACAACTATTTGCTTTTACCTTTAGTGTCGTTGTGGGGATGAGAATTAGAACCCACAGCAAACTGCAAGAAAACATAATGGAGATACGTGCCAATATACTGCCTTTTCTTTAGATGCATAGTATTTAAGGAAACTAATGAAAGGGAAAACAAAAATGATCTGCCTAAAGGAAGGTTCCATCACATTTTTAGTAAACTGTTTCTATGCCTTTGATTTGGTGCATTTGGAATCAAACTACAACCATTTGAATATTTTCTTTCATTTTCCCCATGTGTCTGTGTTCTATGCTTTGCAATTTAAATAAAGAAATACATAGGAACTATTCTGGATAACAAAATGAGAATGGGAATAAGAAATACATTAAGGCTTCCTGTTATTTTGTGTAAGTAAAAAGAACAGAGATTCTGAGTTTCAGTCCTGTCTCTATTCTATAGCCTAATATCAACATTAAAACAGAGTTCCCACACTTTCACAGTATCACATTCTGAGATACAAAGGAAAAAAAGAAACTGATCTGGAATCTAACGATGCTTGAATTTTCATCTATGCCACTCTCCCTGCACATAAGCATAATCTCTGTGGCCAGAAGCATGGATATGTAATATAAATATGTATTAGAAGAGTCAGCACACACTTATGGCGGGGTAGGGAGGAGGGTGGAGAGCGCTGAAGTCTCTCTTCACAGTCTATGTATAGCTCTTAGCACAAGGACAGGTATACATGAAAGGGTATGAAGCAAATATGTCTAAACAGGATTTGAGCCTCCATGTTTTCCGTGATTCTTCTGTCTCTGCACTCTCAGGTCTTTCCTTGAGTACAAAATGTTGACATTTGTGAGAGGAAAAAACCCTTTGTTTGCTGCTCTTTTGCTACCGAGAAGAGCCTGAAGGAGAGGGAGGTCTGAGCACTCTGAAGCGTATATATTTCCATTTGGGGGCGACGTATTAACTACCACATAAAAGAGAGCTGGCCCCGGTACCTTTCATTGCGGTTCCTAGGGCAACCTGTTTAATAACCAGATAGGCTTTCTCTGCATTGACAGCATGAATGACGTTAGAGGTTTGTTTTGCTTTTTAAAGGAAAATAATGTTTTTTTAAGGGGGAAAAACAGGTTAAAAAAAAAGACTGGTTCTCTGGGGATTGTAGACTCTGCTACTCCTCTCGCTGCATTTGAAAACTATGTAGATATGGTTATGGAAACAGATTTTAAGTGGTTTAAAAATCTACATAATTTTTTCTTTGTAAATACAGTCTTTTATTGAACAGCAAGTTACTAGAAGGAACAATATTTGATGGATTTGTCTCAAAAATATGTAAAATGTGTGCTGATAGTTATTGCTATAATACTAGTATTTTAAAAGTAAATCTTTTCTCTTTATAGGCTGAGGCTGATGCTTACAAAATAATGGGGGAAAAGAAATTTTATCATCAAATTAAGGAAGATGAACGTCTTTTCCAGAAGTTCAAAATAACTGATGACAAAGATATTGTCACCCTGAAAGATTACATGCAAGTAAGAAATTTAGATTTGGATATTGAAAACAAACAACAGCAAAATAAGCCTTGTGACCCTATCTTTCAGGAAGTAAGAATCATACATTAGTTTATTGTGGTAAAATACACACAATATAAAATGTGCTGTTTTATTTTTTTCAGATTTGTTATTATTTTATTTTTATACAAAAAAGGATAATAACAAAAAATAAATAGTTGCATAATCTCACCAGGCAGATAACCCAATAGATACTTTTTTAAAATAGTAATGTCATGTAAAAAAGTTACAGCTTCACTTACCACCATAGACTTTTCTCCAAATGCAAAATGTGCTATTTTAAAGTGTACTATTCAATGGCATTAAGTACAATCATAGTGTAGTGCAAACATCACTACCATCTAGTTTAAGAACCTTTTTGTCACCCCAAAGGAAATCTCACATGCGATAAGTGAATTCACCCATCCCCCCTTCACTCCAGCCCCTACCAACCACTAATCTGCTTTCCATCTCTCTGAATTTGCCTATTCTGAATGTTTCATATTAATGGAATCATATAATATGTGGCTTATTGTGTCTGGGGAGTAATAGCTAAGGAATGTGGGGTTTCTTTTGGGAGTGATGGAAATATTTTGGAATTAGTAGTGATATATATTATAAATTTACTACACACTCTGAATTTTATACTTTAAAATGGTAAATTTTATGTGAATTTTTATCTCAATACAAAAAATTGAAAAATAAAAAATAAATGCATGGTGCTAAAAAGAGTACATGATGGAGATTTGACCTAGTAAGGAAGGGATCTATTATTGTTTGGGTGCTTTCTGCTACAAGTAACAGAATATCTGCAACCACAAGAGGCTTAAACAATGAAGGACATTTAATTTCCCACATTAGAATGTCCCTGGACAGGAGCATCATGGAATAGCTAGTGCCACAACTCCAGGATATCAGGGTTCTTAGCCAGCTTCTCTGCAGTCCTTTCAGCTTCCTTCACACAGTGACAAAATGACTAGCACATTCCATTCTCAACTATACTCAAAGGCAGAAAGAAGACTCGGCATCTTTTCCTCTTTATCTCATGAAGAAAAATCTTTCCCAGAATCCCCCAGCAAACTTCTTCTCAGATCTTCTTAGTCAGAACTGGATCACATGCTCCCCCTAAACCAATCACTGTAAAGGGAAATGGGATCATTTTCCCATAATTGATGTAGGACAATCACGGTTCATATGCTGGGGCCTTCCTTCCCAGAGCTTATGTCTGTTCTGTACGTCAAAAATAAATAAATAAATAAACCAGGGCTCCATAAGTAAGGGAGTTGGAGAATGGTTGATAGGCAGGCAATCAACAATGCGTCACAGCCTCAAGGTGGTGCACCCCAGACAAGGCTCTGTGGTAGGATGAACTGCCGTGCCTGAAAAAGAGTTTGTGGGCCTGGAGAAGGTGTGAAGGGCTGTCAGCCTGGAGGGCTGGCAAAAGATCATCATACAGGGCTTTTGACCATAGTAAGGTGTTTATTTTTTTCCTTGATTCTGTATGCAGTGAGAAGCTGGTACAGTATCTTAGGAAATGAGGTGATCTAATCTAATACTGAAGAGATCTGTCTGGCTGCAGTGTAGATAAGGGATTAGAGGACAGCAAGAACTGTCTCCTTGTTTGGAGGTTCCTGCAGTATTTTAGGAGAGATAGTAGTACCTTGGTTTAGGGCAGTGAAGCTGGCGATGCAGAAGATAATTAGGGAATAGAAGCAGTGGGCCTTGGGAACAGAGAAGTAAGCTAAAAGAAGGTGTCCAAGATGGCTCCTAGGTTTCTGGTTTGCATAACTGGTCTGACAGCAGTGCTGAATCAGGGAACTTAAACTAGAAACCTGAAGAGTAATAATAGCAAATGCTGATGTAATACTAACTCCTATTCTCATAAGAACCCTAAGAATTAGATAATATTATAACCCCTGTTTTATAAGTTCTAAAGAAACAAGGGATCCCAAAATTCTAGCTAGGAATAATAATAGTAGTAATATATGGCCTTAACTATTCACTCAGTTGCTTCCATGTGAAACATGAAATTAATGCAGTGCTTTAGAGACTCCCAGTTGTGTTTTCTTTCTCTTAGAGCCCTAACCTAGAAGATTAGAGAACTGAACCAGGGAAGAAGTAGAGCTTGGGGATGTCAACTATCTTTGTGAATGATGTGGGTCACATACTTGCAGATTGTGACTATGCCAAGGACTGGTGTCACAGAAAGAAGTTCCCAGATAGACATTGAAAGAAATATGATGATTGCTGGCATTTATTGAGCCCTTTATGGACACAGCCTTGTTTCTAGCTCTTTAAATACATATTATCTCCTTTAACCTTCAAGTTTGTAAATTTTGTGACCCTTTAAAAGATGAGAAAAATGGAGCTTAATGAGATTTTTTAAAACTTGCCCAAGGTCATATAGTTAATAAGTACAGAGCAAATCATTGACAGGTCTAAGATGTTTACCCATTTTGCCATTCCACTCTCAGGAAATAAAATGTACAGGCAGTCCTCACTTTGCATGGTAGTACAGGGTCATAAAAATGACCATGAAAGCTGAAACCATGCAGACCAAACTTAATCATCAATGGGAAAAATCATGATTGTTCTGTGCCTTTAAAAAAAACCTTATCAAAACATTAAAAACTCCCTTACTCTATGTTATAATTATATAGGAAAATGAAAAAAGCAAAGCATTTATTTAGTACACTATAATTTAAAACATTAGAAACACTCGGAATTTAAAGGGTTTTACTTCTTTGTAAAAAGCTTATCATTTAAAATATACTAAAAACTGTTGAATTATACACTTTAAACTGGTGAATTATAAGAGATGTGACTCTCAAAAAACCTGTAAAAAAGCTAATTTATCAAGAGTAATTTAAACAGTGCTTGCCGCCTTATTCTCATATAATTTACAATAAGGAGTGAGCATCTTCTCTATGCCCTGGAAAATTGTCATACTCCTGAGTTTGCATCACCTGCCAACATTTTACCCCTTGTACTTTTTTTCTCCACCTGGCTTGCAGGGTCGTAGTTCCCTGACAAGGGATCAAAGCCAGCTTCCTGGTAGTGAGAGCACTAGGTCTTAACTAGTGGGCTACCAGGGAATTCCCTATACTCTGTACTTGAAGTGTTCTGAAATATTTCAGGGCTCCTTTAATATGAAGTTTCTTTTTGCCAACATTACTTCCTCTAAGAAAACTTTACCCTTTCCATCATTGCCATTTTCCCCATCTGTGTTGATAAGTTCACTTTCACTAAGTCCCTCTAGCAGCCTAGCTGCAGTCTCCTGCATGATGAAAGATTCAACATCTCCATGGTCACCTGTTTCTTCTAGAACTCTGTTTACATTTAATTTGAATTTCACTTTCAGCTTTACCACTTTTTGTTTCTTTGTTGGACTTTTCCCTCTTTTGATTATCTTTATTGGTAAAATGTCGTGTGGATTTATCACTGGGAGACAAAGAGACAACACAGTTACATACTTTGCTGTCTGTGTGTGAACTAAAAAGCAGATCCACAGTGTCCAATCACTGATGCACTTTGAAAGAAGTGACATGATTTGTCGTCTACCACCACGCACACCTATTATTTCTGTAGTAATCTACGCATTGAAGAGCTAGCAACAGAGTTTGTACTTTATGCATTTAATTCAGCTATACTGTGGTAGGTGAAATTTGAACTGTGTTGTTGAAGGACTGAGCTTATTTTGCTAAATAGTGGTAATTGGGATTTTTACAAGCCTAAATGGTGCAAAGGGAGGACTTCTTGTATGTGTGTGAGTTAGAGAATGCAAGAGAGAGAGGGGGGTGTGTGTGTATCTTGAGAGAGATAACCTAAATGCCTAGCATAGTAGTTTCTCCTGCCCTGTTCCTGTCTCTTAAATGAACATTTATAAGGTTGAATTGGTTATATATACATTTTAAATTCCTAATGTAATACTTTAAATGTAAAAAAAGAAAAGTGGGATTTCTACAAATACTCCACATGAAAATAGTGAAATTCACCACTTAGCACCAGAAGTGAACTAATTATTTCTCAAAAGGTTTGTGCTTTCAATGCAAGCACGTCATGAACAAGCATTGCCAGGTATGTAGATCATACCACTATTTTCAATTTTATCTGAGTTATATTTACCTTAAAGATTTAGTGTTTATGCATTAAATAAATATTCAGTGAGTGTGGTACTATGTGCACAATGCCATGTGACAGGGATCCTGCCTTGTCACAGCAGGGGAGCTAAAACATACACAGGTAGCTAGAACATCAAGTAGTCAGTAATAAGAGCATAGAAGAGTGATCTCAATATAGTCCAGAGATGGGGTCAGGGAATGCTTTTTGGATGAAATAGCCAATCATGCTTGGTTGTTTTTCATATAGTATTCCAGTCATCTGGATGAGATCCCTGCATCTTCTGGTGGCAGAAATAACCATTGGCGAAGATTAAGCCTCGAAAACATTCCCAGGACAATGATAATGTATGACATAGTTGATTATGCCGAGTCTGGAATAATCTCAAACCGTCTAAAAGAAGAGATGAAGTATCTATTACAAAGACCAAAAACAGAAGAGATGCGTCAGCACCAGCTACAGATTGTTTCTGAAGTTAGGTAAAAGTTGTACTTCACTGGAGTTACAGTATTAGGGGAATTTCTGGAAATGTTCACATTCTGCCAAATGGCTCAGGAAAGATAATAACAGAGCATGTGAGAAAAAAATGGGTTGGGGCAGATTGCTCAAATTTTATGCAACTTTGTAAACAGAGCAGTAGCAAAAAGAACATTTGGTACCTGGGGAGATAACTTGTACCACCAGACAGGCCACCAGAGAAAGTATCAAAAATGTAGAGTGACAGCCATTAAAAAGAATTCATTTGAATCAGTTCTAATGAGATGGATGAAACTGGAGCCCATTATACAGAGCAAAGTAAGCCAGAAAGATAAAGACCATTACAGTATACTAACACATATATATGGAATTTAGAAAGATGGTAACGATAACCCTATGTGCAAAACAGAAAAAGAGACTCCTATGTATAGAACAGACTTGTGGACTCTGGGAGAAGGCGAGGGTGGGATGTTTCAAGAGAACAGCATCGAAACACGTATATTATCTAGGGTGAAACAGTTCACCAGCCCAGGTTGGGTGCATGAGACAAGTGCTCGGGCCTGGTGCACTGGGAAGACCCAGAGGGATTGGGTGGAGAGGGAGGTGGGAGGGGGGACCGGGATGGGGAATACATGTTAAAAAAAGGAAAAAAAGATACACTATGGTTGTGATAAAAAATAAATAAATAAATAAAACAAAAATGTAGAGTGAAAATACTGGTGACCCTTTGATTAGAGGAAGTAGTGGGCACTGAGACAGTGCAGATGGAAGTGGAGTGCTAGACCAATGTGGTGACCTTTCAAGTAGAGATGAGAAGCAGTGCGACCTGCCACAAACCAGGAACCACGCAAGGCAGAAAGTAGGGTGGAGGGCAGTAAGGGTAGATTGTGTGTGTTTGGGGGGGCTCTCTGGGGAGAGAGCGCTAGGTGCCAGTGTTATTGTTATTTTCATAAATGCAACCAAAAGGACTCTCATTGCCCATGCTGCACAGAGGAAAACATTTTCCTTTTCTGCTGAAGGTTATAATTCTAGTCTTGCTATTCTGGCTCCCTTTGCAGAGGATAAATTGCATATAAATTGCAGTGACATTATTCCCTTCTTTACCAATAACATGTGAGCCAGTTCACATTATAGAAGAACATGTCGTAGCAAAATAGACTGTATTATGATCTGAAACAACATGGACAGACTATGACTACACCAATTATATTCTTTTTTTCTTTCCATTACCAAATCTCACCTAGCCCATCTTGTTTACAAATTAAGCTTTTTTTCTTATGAAAAAGAAAATAAGATTGAAGAGGACCTGTTGGTAGTCTCTTTTCACACAGCCATATTTGAAATGAAAAATACTGCTTCAGTACATGAAAAGACACTGGTGACCCACTGTCAGGCAAACACATTGGGTTTTTTCCAGGAGTAGAGATGAGTGGGTGTTGACCCAATAACATGATTTATCCCATTTATTTTATGATCAAGGCTGTACATTTGCCAGACAGATGGCCTAGTGTAGGGCTCAGTCTGTCGTCATGAAATAGCTTTTCTCTAACTTATCCATATAAGCATTCAATAGGGGACTTAACCCTATTACCACCAAGGTCAAATAAATGATGTAATTTTCTCTGCCACCATATATAACTGTAGGCTCCCTGCTATTTAGACTCATGCTACTGATTATCCAAGAATGAGTCACTTAAAAAGCCAAATAAGTAACCAAATTCTAAATCAACTGAAGAGGGGAAAGTACTTTCATAAAAACTCCTTTGAATGCAGTCTTAGTTTGGGATCCCCAGAAGCAAACCCTGAGGTAAGGATTTGAGTATAAGTAGTTTATTTCGGAGGTGATCCCAGGAACCGTTGATGAGAGGGAGTGTTGTGCTAAGTCACTTCAAGGGGTAGAGAAGTGAAACAGGGAAGGGCCAGCAGCCAAAACAGTGTGTGTTAGCAAGCAAGTTGTTACTGTGGGTAACGAGCTTAATCCTTCCTGGGAATGAACATGTAGAACAGTGTAGAACATGCAACTCAAGTTATCCCACTGAGGGGGAGGGAGTTGGGATATTTATACACCAACACCCATCAGTCACTGGTGAAGGGTAACTTAGGAGGAGAGGTATTAATTCTGGGACACTTTCCCTGCACATGGGCTCTTGTTCTGATAAGAAAGCTCTCAGAGTAAATTAAGCCAATGCTGACAGTTGGAAGTTGGGTATATGTGTCCTAGGGCCAAGGGAACTAAGAGCATGGCACCAACCATGTCTGGTTCCAACACTGATATAAACAACTTGTAAGCCATTATGAAGTTTAATACTTGTTGGTGTTCATATGTAGTGTATATTTTTAAAAGAGTCAAATGGCTATTACACGGTGTTTTCCAGGAAAACTGATTTTAAATTGATACCACATTTTGTAATTTTCATTATCATCATCATAAACATCGTCTATACACCTTCATGGGCTTCCCTGGTGGCTCAGCAGTAAAGAATCTGCCTGCAGTGCAGGAGACTTGGATTTGATCCCTGGGTCTGGAAGATCCCCGGAGGAGGGCATGGCAACCCATTCTAGTACTCCTGCCTGGAGAATCCCATAGACAGAGGAGCCTGGCAGGCTGCTGTCCATAGGGTCGCAGAGTCGGAGATGAATGAAGCAACTAAGCAGGAACATCAGCATATACCTTCATAAGTGGGAAAGAACTATGCTGTGTAACTCAAACAGAAATGATAACTTTGACCTAAATACTTACATGCAATATTGCTCCAAGCACTGAGGTTTATGACATAGTCGCTAAAGGGTGCTTTAGTAAAAGTTGGAACTTGTTTTACATGTAAATTTTATTTTGTGCAATTTTTCTGTCTATACTACAAATATTTTCTAGGTCCCCTTTATTCTTATCAAGTCTTCAACCTTTATATCGGCCCTACCAACAGCAAAGTCAAATTAGACATCTGGGTCGTCGATCCAAACAAGCTCTAATAAAAGTTGAAAAAATGAAGAGAGCTTATAAGATGGCTAAAGAAAAAAATGCTTCTGTGGGGTCTGTAAGTTTAACTTGTACTGAATTCATTGTTTTAGACAATATTCAAACTGTAGGTAATTCTGCTTCCTTAAGTAAAATTTTCCTAATCTACAAGTTCACTAACGAAACATACATTTGTTATGTACTTTAGATGGTATAAAGCTACATTCCTCTTGGTAACACATGTTTTAAAAATTCTTAAATACGAGTAGCTATTCTGATAAATACCAGCCATTTTGGTTCCACATCAGCGTGAGTTGGCAAAAAGCCCAATTGTTTCTGTATATTGACACTGTTGATTCAGCACATCTCTAATGGTGCGTTTCTCAAAATGGAAGTCATTTCTATCTACACTTATTAAGAGCTATAGTGTGGAAAGTCAGCTTCAGTATACTACATTGCAAGAATATTTTCAATGAACATGTATTCATGTTTCCTTAGTAGTGTTTTAAAAATCTGCTATAAATTTTTTTCAGATGAGGTTAAGTATGAACAGTCAAATATGAAAACATAAAATAGTAGAAACCAACTATAAAACACTTTCTGTTTTTATTTATAATTCTACCTAGGAACCAAAAATGGACATACCAGGTGCAAAGCAGAAAGAGACAGTTGTCCTCTCCACCCCATCTTTTGACATTGTGAAAGTTGAAGAACTCCTGTCAGATGACGAATTGGAAAAAGAGGAAAAGGAATTATTTGCCTGGTGTCAAGACTTGTTTATTAATAACTCTCCATTTTAAAGCACAGCTAATTGATAGAAAACCAACTTATTCAACAATCTGCTTGTCTGTCTATAAATGAGTATATGCATTAAAGGAAAACAAAATATAAACAAGTGCTCAGTATGCTCTCTTAAGCAAATGTGTGACAGATTTTAAAGCCCTTTCTGTATTACCATAGGTACAGGTATTTTTTTACTGACAGAATTTTAATCTAAATAATTTCAAATAGGTGCCCTCAAACTAGCTACATAATATTTTCTTCAAGAAATGGTGAGTATTTCATCTCTGGAACTTTATTTCAATTTTTATTTTCCTTCATTAAAAAAAAATCTGAACAGGACATGCTTAGCATAAATATTAAAATTCACAGAATAAAAGGCTGCTCTTGAGTCAGCCTCCAGTGTCTTTTTTTTTCTTATTAATAGCATGTTGTCTTTATAGAACAGCTTGTGATTGACCCATTCTGAATTATAATAAAAATAATAATGAATTTGTTGCTATAGAAGGCATGACATAGCATACCTAATTATTATTGAGCACTGAGAACACCTGGGACAGAATGCTGCATGTGCTTCACTGTTGTACTTTGTTTTTAAGTATAAAAGACTATTTTGAGTAATATCTATCAATTTCCTTTTGAACTGATAAATTCTCATTCCTGATATAGTACCAATTAATGAATTTTTGTGGTGGTCCAAGCTATTAGAGTATATCAAACCTTACCTAAGGCTATGAAATTAAACAACGTGCATTATTTATTGTACCTTAAAAATATAATTTTTTATTTTGCTTAATATTTAAAATGTGCAGGTTGATTTCCTGATTTAACTCAGGCAAAGCAGCCTATAAATGGATCTCATTCTCTATTAAAACATTCTCTTAAATGATAAAGAATATTGGAGTAAATGTATATAATTCCCACTATAATATATTTAACATGTGTGTACACTTCAATATTAATATATCCTCATTTGATTTCTAAAAATAGGATGGATAATCTTGTTTTCAGAGCTTGTACTGGACACTGGTTGAATAGAAGACATAATTTGTCCTCATGAGTCACACATATTCTCATTCATTAAGTTGGGAAGCAGTCTCTCATCTAATCAAATGCAGATCAGATCCAGTTCACTCACAGTATGTGCAGTAGTAAAACCAGCAACATTTCAGATAACAAGATGAAGGAAAAAGTCAAAGGACAGATTCTTTATGTTTAACGGCACCCATTTCTCATATTTTATTAGCTATGATATGACTTTGTCCCATCAAAATGCCTAGCTACAAGGGAGGCTGTGTGGAGCAGTTATGTACCCACCTAAGATTCTATTGTTATAAAAGAAAGGGATAATGGATATTAAGGCATAACTAGCATCAGCTGCCAGACTGAGATGTGTCTTCTATTGATTCTTTTAACTTACATTAAATAATGTTATCAGGCTTCCCTGGTGGCTCAGATGGTAAAGCATCTGCCTGCAATGCAGGAGACCTGGGTTCAATCCCTGTGTTGGGAAGATCCCCTGGAGAAGGAAATGGCAACCCACTCCAGTATTCTTGCCTGGAGAATTCCATGGACAGAGAGGAGCCTGGCTGGCTACAGTGCATGGGGGTTGCAAAGATTCGGACACGACTGACTGACTAACACACAGTGTAATCACATCACAAAAAATTCTTTTAAAAGTAGAATTACAAGGCTTCCCTGGTGGCTTAATGGGAAAGAATCCGCCTGCCAATGCAGGGGACACAAGTTCAATCCCTGGTCCAGGAAGATTCCACATGCCACGGAGCAACTAAGCCTTTGTGCCCTAACTACTGAGGCTGTACTCTAGAGCCCAGAAGCCTCAACTACTGAGCCCACGTGCTCTAGAGCTTGTGCTCGGTAACAGGAGAAGCCACCACAATGAGAAACATGTGCACCGCAACTAGAGAGTAGCCACCACTCACAGGAACCAGAGAAAAGCCCAGGCAGCGAGAGACCCAACACAGCCAAAAATAAATAAAACTATTTTTAAGAAATAGAATTACAGATAATCTCATCTCTATAATATAGTGACTGTTTTCATTTACTCATACCTTCCTGGTCTGTCTAAATACACATTTTCATGTAGTTGTAATCATGAGTAACATATAAAGTGAAAATTTAGAATCTATTTTAAATGTGGTCTATTTTAAAATAAATTAGGAGTTTGGGATTAACATATACAAACTACTATATATAAAATAGTTAAACAACAAGGACCTACTGTATAACACAAGGAACTATATTCAATATCTTATAACAACCTATAATGGATAATGTGAAAGTAACTCAGTCGTGTCCAACCCCTTGCCACCCCATGGACTGTAGCCTGCCAGGCAACTCCGTCCATGGGATTTTCCAGGCAAGAATACTGGAGTGGATTGCCATTTCCTTCTCCATAATGGATAACTAAATCACTTTATTGTACACCTGAAACTAACACAAAAAATAAAAGATAAAAAAAAATTGGGAATTCCCTCGTGGTCCAGTGGATAGGACTCAGGACTTTCACTGCCAAAAGCCTGGGTTCAATACCTGGTCAGGGAACTAAAATCTCACAAGTTGCACAGCCAATAATAAAAATAATAATAAAATAAATTTTAAAGTAGCATTACATATAATCTCATCATTATAACAACTGTTTTCACTTGCTCATATCGTTCCAATCTGTCTAAATGCACATATTTTCACATGGTTGTAATCATAAGTAACATACAGATTCTAAAGTATTCACTTAATATTATATCTTAAACATGGTCTATTTTTAAAAAATAATTCTTAATGGCCCATGATACCCCATTAGATTGATAAGGCATAATTTATTTAATCATACTCATATCATTGGATATTTCAGTGATTCTAATTTTCACTATTGTAGGCAATTAACACTGGAGTGAGCATCTTCATACATGGTATTCTTCCATTTGGTTATCTTTCTGCTATTTTTAACTCAATTGCACTGTAATCAGAAAACATGATTTGTATGATACTGATTCCAGGAAACCTGTTGAGACTGCCTTTATAACCAAGTATATGGTCAGTTTTTATAGGTCTTATTTGTACTCTAAAGAAAAATGTACATTCTCTATAGATAGGTACAACATTCTATACATGTCCTTTTGATCAAGCTTGTTCATTTATTTGTATTCTCTATACTATGCTACTAATTTCTGTTCTGTATGACGTCAGTTACTGAGAAACATATGTGTTATAGCCTATGATGGTGGTAGACTTGCTGGTTTTTCATCATAAGTCTGTGAACTTTGTTTGCGTGTGTGCATGCTCAGTTGCTCTGTTGTGTCCGACTCTTTGTGACCCCATGGACTGTAGCCCTCCAGGCTCCTTTGTCCACAGAATTTTCCCTGACAAGAATACTGAAGTGGGTGGCAATTTTCTTCTCCAGGTATCTTCCCAACCCAGGGATTAAACCTGCATCTCCTGTGTCTCCTGCATTGGCAGCCGGATTCTTTATCAGCAAGCCACCTAGGAGTCTCCTGAAGATATCATGAGATATATATATAATTTTAGAAACTGCGTCACTTCCTGATGAATTGAATCTATTATCATCATGTAGTTACTATCTTTATTCCTAATACATTTTTCTTTGAAGACTTGTCCATTATGAACAGAGCTACTCTAGTGTTCTTCTGGTTAGTGTCTGCCTGGCATATCCCTTTGCATCTGTTCTTATTTTGAACATTTTTATGTGTCAGAGACTGGCTAGATGTTCACTGATTCCATTTCCTCTTCCTATGAACACAAGATACATGTCCCAAATCTTTTTACAGTTATTTTGGGATCACCAGAGGAATGTGGGCAGAAGTGATGTATACCCCTTCTAGGATTGGTCCCCAAAATGTTATGCATGGTCTTTGATGCTCTCTTTCCCCTGCTCATATGGCTCAGTTCAGTTCAGTCACTCAGTCGTGTCCGACTCCTTACGACCCCATGGACTGCAGCACGCCAGGCCCCCCTGTCCATCGCCAACTTCCGGAGTTTACACAAACTCATGTCCATTGAGTCAGTGATGCCATCCAACATCTCATTCTCTGTCGTACCCTTCTCCTCCCGCCTTCAATCTTTCCCAGCATCAGGGTCTTTTCAAATGAGTCAGTACTTTGCATCAGGTGGCCAAAGTATTGGAGTTTCAGCTTCAGCATCAGTCCTTCCAGTGAATATTCAGGATTGATTTCCTCCAGTATTCTGGCCTGGAGAATTCCATGGACTAAGTCCATGGAGTCCCAAAGAGCCGGACACAACTGAGCTCATATGGCTCAGAGCAAAAAATAAACTCCAAAATGGTAGAACTAGGATTGAAAGATCTTAGATTCCTATGTCACTGATTGAAGAAGCAACAGTCAAAGCAGCACTCAGACCTGATGAACTGTGATGTGAGCAAGAAATAAACTTTGTTGCATTAAGCTCCAGGGATCCTAGGAGTGGTTTGTTGCAGCAGCTAGCATTAATTATTCTGATATACCATGTCTTTGTGTTTTAGATTTACTCTTGTTTAGTTGTAAAGTCGTGTCTGACTCTTTTGTGACTCTTAGGACTGCAGCCTGCCAGGGGCCTCTGTCCGTGGGATTTCCCAGGCAAGAATCCTGGAGTAGGTTGCCATTTCCTTCTTCAAGGGATCTGCCCAAGTGTTTGCACTCACTCACTCACTCACGCACAAACTCAAGGGTTTCCTGCCTTGGAAGGTGGATTCTTTACCACTGAAACCTAGGTTTACTCTAGGATAACAGCAAATATATGGATTGTTTTGTTTTGTTTTAATCCAATCTGAGGATTTTAACTGGTGGTTTTAAAGTTATACTTTATTGGTATTTTAATTAATTGTTGATATGTGGAATTATGTTTACCATGTTGTGCTATCTGTCCTGATTTTTCTGTCTTTTCTCCCTTTTCCTGTTTTCTTTCAGATTGTTCTTTTGATTCCACATTGTCCCCCTCTATTATTTTTGGAATTTATAACTTCTTTTTATTCTTAGTGATTACTCTT